AGAATTGAATAAGTAGATATTCAAGTGATCGATAACAATTTTAAAAAGCTGTGATACTTACCGACATTATTAAAATAACAAAAGCCCCTATGAAAATAGAATGAGTTAGAATGAAAAACAATTTTTATTTTATATATGATAGAAATAATAAGAATAATATGCATACATGGCCTGATTTCGTTCAGCATGATGACCAGGAGGACGTACTATCGCGAAACCATTTGCAATTCTAATATTAAAGAAAAAGAAAAGTTTGGATCATATTTTTTATGAAATGAGATTAATTAAGTAAAAAAATTTACATACTTCCCGGATGCGACAGCGCCAACAATTTCGATCACAGACCCAGCAGCCATTCTTGCAGCGTTTGGAGTTCCGGCAGGATTATATGTAGTATCACAGCTTTTTAAAATTGTTATCGATCACTTGAATATCTACTTATTCAATTCTGTTTATAGGTATTGCTGCGAATATGGTATTAAAGAATTATCCAAATCATGTAAAGAAAATTCTTATAGTCGATTGGTAATATATTATTTAGTTATGTATTATTTATTATATGGTAATGATCACTCAGACTAATTTTATATATATATATATATTTTTTTCAAATAGGGACATTCAGTAAGTGATCATAAATATACATTATCAATGCGTTGCAACCATTTAATAATATTCTCTTGTACCTTTTTATCAATTAGTCATGGAAATGGTACACAAGACATGTTTTATGACCGTGATGACGTATTGTATTTGTCTCTACATCGTTGGGATAATGGTAATTTTTACCCTTACTCTGGTTCAACCTCTGACCTGGGCTCGGGTGCTGGACTAGGTAAAAACGTTAACATTACTTTTTCTTCCGAAGATGATAGTAAGTCATTTCATCATTTCATCCGAATTACTGTTTATTGTTTTTCAATGTACCGAATGGTACTAAATGTTACATTATTGATTTAGAAATTGATGCAATGGGTGATACGGAATATGTTGCTGCATTTGAGCATATAGTTATGCCTATTGCTACCCAATATAACCCTGATATAGTAATTGTATCAGCAGGTTTTGATGCTGCTGAAGGGCACGATGATTTTGTAAGTATTAAATATTAATTTTCAGGTTTGATATTGGCTTCGAATTTCATCTCACTAATTAAGACGTGTTTACATAGATTGGCGGGTATAAAATTACACCTAGAGGTAAAAGTCCAAAAATTCGAAAATTAAGTCTTCAAATAAATGTTAATAATATAATATTATCATTTATATCATTTATATTAGGTTATGCATTTATGACACAGATGCTTAAATCTTTAGCTAATGGGAAGATTGTGCTTGCACTTGAAGGTTTTTAATTAATTGCTATATTTTATTTTCATTTTTATTACCGAGTTTTTTAATTTCTTGTAAATTACAGGCGGATATGTTTTAGAGCCATTATCAGCATCTGCAAGTGCCTGTTTATCTGCCTTACTTGGTCCTGAATTATCACCTCTAGAACAATATCAATTGATCGGTGGTTTAAATTCAGTGAAACCAAATTCGGTCTGTTTTTTATATGAATAATCATAGTCGTTTCATAAATAAACTAATTATATTTTTGAATAACTCAATAGGCTGCTGTTTCTTCGTTTCAAAAAGTTGTAGCTACATTAAAACCATATTGGAAATTTTCGGAACAAGTCATGCGTGATGATTTTCGATTTTCATTACCAAGCGAATGGCGGGCAGTAAATAGCTTATCGACGAGACCAAAACGTGCTCCAAAGCCAAAACGCAGAATGCCCGTTGAAGGGTAACTTATTTTATTTTGTTTTAGAATAATTTAATCACCATCTTTAGATGATTTCATTAAATACCATCCCTAAAATTAGCCAATAAATTTTTCTATTTTATTTATTAATTTATAAACATTTTTTATTAGCATGGCGGACATTCGATTTGATTGGCTTTTAAAGTCCTGATTTACACAACTTAAAAAAAAAAAAATTTTTTTAGATTAATAAACATTTTCTATGAAAAAACCACAACTTGTGGTTTTACATAATAAAGTTTTTTTTTTTTTTTTTTTACAAAACATTTTTTAATAGTCTTTAGCTTTTACTGTATGTCTTTTAGATAAGATAAAATGTAGATAATTGAGAACAATTTTAATTAACTAATAAGATGTAAGAAAATAAATAATATATGAAAATTCTAGCAAAAAAAAAAAAAAAAAAAAAAAAAAACTTGCTGAAAATAACAATTTTAAAAAGGTGAATTTTAAGTGTAAGATATTATTGATATTAATTATAGTAAGTTATATAGAAATTTTTTTAAAGTTTAAATAACAATTAGCTAATATTTTTATTTTATTTTATTTTATTAAAAATAATAGTTGTATTATGAAAGATATTTAAGTTTTAAATTAGATAGTTATATATAGAGACGAATAAAAAAAAAATTTTTTTTAACGATATAAAAAAGTTAGTTATTATCAATAAAGTTTTTTAATTTGATTACGTAGCTATATATACGTATTTATATTATATATATATATTTTTAATTTAAATAATTTTGCTTTTTATTTTATTAAAAGATATGTTCATATAAGCAAAAAATAATATATATACTAATGATATTATTATTTTTTTTCTTATAATTTCAAACTTATTTAACTATTTTTAAATATCTAAATATGATCTATTTAGAGTTGGTCAAATTACTAGTTAACCAAAAATTTGTTGATTAAACTAGTTTGGTCAAATTGGTCAAATTGGTTAAACTGATTTGGTCAAGCTTGACTATTAAACCAGTTTGTACTAACTCTGGATTTATTGTAACTATTATATTTTTCTTAAAAAGCCTTAAACTATATATATAGTTTTTTAGTTTTTAATTATAAAGAAATTACTATTAATCTAGTATATAATAAAAATATTTTATTTTATTTTAAATTTCAATTTTTTTTTTTTTTTTTTTTTTTTTTATAATCAAATTTGTTTGACAAAACTAATTAAAATTTTGTTTGTAGGTTTAGTAATTTTAATATAGTGATTAGGTTGTTCAACTGTTATATAAGAAGTTTGGAGCTCAAATCTTACTGTTGATGAATTTGAATAATTATCTGAACTTTTGTACTTAACTTACAGTAAATTCTATTCATTTCTAGGAGATTACAACTTTATAAATCATATTATATTTAATTCTAACAACTCTTTCTGATGATTATCAAAACCAAAACAATAAAATAACAAAAATTTTTTTTCTTATGTTACTACTTAGGAAAACTATTTAAGATAATTGATTACACAAGGAATAAACTATAAAGCTGCAATAAGCCAGAAACAAGAACTGCAACAAGTCAGTTTTAAAGTTATACTAAGCCCTTTGGCTATCTGATTTTAGTGAAGTGACTTTAAGTTAGTTTAGTAGAAAGATGTTAATAGTATAATAAAGAAGTATAAAAAAAATTCTAACTATGCTTATACTAGATCAAGCATATAACCACTCCTTTAGTTTTGTTTTTTTGAAGAACCACTTCCTTTATTTACAATAACTAGACATTTAGACTTGGAATTGTTTCTCTTTGTTTCTTAATAGCAAAAAGTGGAGATTTGGCTTATTCTTGCTAAAAGATCTATATTCATACTATATCTATTTTAGAAAAGTCATGTTATATGCTACCAAGCAATAACAACTTGTAAACATATGTAGCTATATGCTATAAGTTAATACCTGTTAACATCTTCATTAGAGGATTACATAAAGTCATACCTTGTTAGATAAGTAATGAAATAGACTTAATAGAATCAGTTGATACTAGAGAGATATATATACAAATAGTAACAGTATATATAATTTTTAAAGATAGTGAGTGTTTAAGTTTGCTATTGTTGGTAGATTATTATATATGATTTCATTTCTAAAAGAATAGAATTTGTAGTTATCATTTTGTGAATTGATTATGTTAATGAGTTGAAGAATATTGAAGGGTTGTAGATTGCAAAATGTTTTGAGTTGTATAAGCTTATTGAAGGTATGAATTGAAAGAATATTTGTACAGAATTTGTGAATTTTAAGTAGTAGGAGAATTTGGTTCTATGCGAAAGAGAGAGGTAGATAGAATAGTTAGGTATTAAGCTGAATTTCTATTTTGTTAGTTCTTGTTTAGCTAGTAAGTCAGTGATATTATGAAAAGAATTTTTTGAGTGTAATTTAGTTTTGTGAGTAGTGAATTGGATATTTTTCTTTTGAATAAGGTAATTTAAGATGTGAATAATATCCTAGTTATTTATTTTGGTTTGTGTTAAATAGGTATAGAGTAGGTTGTTTTTAAGTATATGAATTACTAAAAGATTATCCAGATGTAGATGGATTTTGTAGTTTGATAGTAGTGTTAGGAAGAGGTAAATAATTGTTGATAGTTCAGCTCTTGTGAAATTTGGAGTATGAGGTATCGATGTATTAAATTTTATTTGAGTATTGTTTTGAAATATCCATGCAATACCAGTTTTAATATTAGATGTTTATAAATATTTGATTGATGTATCTGTGTAGAAGTGAAGAGTTTCTGAATTTAGTAGTAGAATTTGATTATAAAGGTTTATGAGTTGGTTTTAGTAGATTAGATTAGTAATTGTATTTTGAATTAGAGAAATATCAGGTGAGGAGATGATTAATTCAGGTAAAGTAGGAGTTGAAGAGATGGTTAGTGTATAGTAGATTTTTTGTAAGGCTTGTAATTCTTGTTAGTTGATAGAGAGTTTGAATTAGTTTTTTTCTTTTTGTATTTTGCACTTTATGTTAATTGTTTGATTATAGTTAATTTGTATTATGGTAGGTGTAGATGAGATATGAATTGAATTTGAGTTAGAGAGAATGAGTTAGAAGTTTTAGAATGTTGTTTGGGTTGTTGAGTAGTTGATTATTTTACTAATTTTGAGTTCATTGTGAGAGATATAGAGAGACTAATAGTTTTTGTTTAGGTTTTGTAAGGTAATTAGGTTTAGAGTATTTAGAAAGGAATTTATTGAATTGAGTTTGGTGTTAGGCCAGATTTCTAGTATAGGTAATGATATTATTTAATCTGCTAATTGTTTATACAATTTAGGAGTTGAACCATGAGAAGATTTGTGAGTTCTAAGATAGATATTTTTCCATAGAAGAAGGAATTGGTTATCTGCAGTAAGAAGTTGTTTGAGAAATAGAATTTGGTTGTTTCTAAGACTTAGAGTCATCATGGCATTAGGATTTAGAAGGAAGTTGTATATAGAGTTGAGTTAATACATTTGGTTTAGATTTTGTAGGTTATCAAAGAAGAGGTTGTTAAGTGATATATTATTTTTGTATAGTAGAACTAGTTGGTTGATAATTGTAAAGTTTAATGTTTTCCTTTGGTTTGAAAAAATAGTTTTTTTTATCAAGGTTGGTTGCCAAATCTTAGTTAGCCATTCTTTGATACGTGAGAGAGTAATTTGAATTAGAAAAACATTTGAGTTTAGGCATCTGTTAATATTACTGCTATTTGTTAGTAGAAGTAATTTATTAAGTGTTAGTATATTAAGAAGTTGAGGGTTAGTGAGGATATCATTATTTGTGTTTGTTAATAGATGTAGGATATATTTGGTGTTTTTGATAAGAGTACTTGATAGTTGATTGATTTTTTTCTAAGGTAAGGAACAGATTTGGAGAAGGTATTTAATTGCTGGTAAAAGAATCATATTAAATAATCTTGATATGTGTATGGGAAGGAGTTTTTTGAATTTGATAAGATGAGTAAATTGATTTATTTTGTTAGTAATAATATTGATTGTAGGTTTAGAT